TTCACTATGGTTCTTTTTTCTCTTCAGCCAACTGGAATCCACCACCAAGCACCAACGACCACCTCCACCCCTCGGGAAACCACTGACAACCTCCCTCTCGCAAGCATCTAGAGACCATCCTCATCCGCCGTTCACACCTCACCTCTCTCCCACCTTAGACTCCAGTCGTTTCACAATGTCATCTACATCTCCAGCGAGGAAAGCATTGTTAGCTACCCTCTTTCCAAAGCCAATTGCTACCTCTAGTCTCCGAAGTTGGAACACAATAGATTAACTGTGCTTCTCTCGTCTCCTGCTACTACTCCTGACAACGACCACCTCTTCCATCACCATATCTCTTTACCCTAACATACATGTGGCTACCTAACACTGCCAACTTAATGGATCTCTCTCTACCCTATAGGCGACAATCGCCTCTTGCTACCTTCGACAATGTTGGTTTTGATTTTAGATTTAGGGTTTCCATTTGGTGGTGGTGATAGTCTTGATGATTAAGGGTTTAGTGGTGGTTATGGTGATGGTAGTGTGGTGGTTAGTGGGCCCGGTGGGAACAATTGTGGTTGTTAGTGACTTTGGTCTCTAGTTACCACTAAAGCTTCACCCTCACCTTGTTACTCTCTGTCATCATTGGTGCCCCTCCATCACCAGCGAAGAAGATAGATCAGATCAACACCGACAAAAAGAAGATAAAACTTGTAACTCCAGAGCCTCTGCCACCACATCCCTCTCTCTCTCTTTTCTCTCTCAAACCCTCCATCCATCTCTTCGACACCCCTCCACCATCGATATCTATATGTTCCCTACTTAATAATCATTTAACTTTGTTGGGTTTTCTATGCATCTTTACACCAGTTATGGCAACAGTAACGAAAGTATCAATAATAAACCGAAGTGTACATGCACCCTAGGATTATAAATTTTACTATTATAACAACATACTTCCAAAACTAACAAATCAACCTACAATAGAAGGATTCGAATACACACCTTTAGATAAATCAATTTGTCTACTTAATTCCTTGATCTCTTGTTGCTTCTTACAATACTAGTACCTCTAATGTTTCACAAACAAAAGCGAAGAACCCTAAAACCAAGGAGAGGGGCTAGAGAGAGAGAGAGAGAGAGAGAGAGAGGAACATTTTCTTTAGCCTTCCAGGAGGAGAGGGTTGGACGAAAATTCCAGCTCCCCTAGGCCTCTTTATATTGTTGAGCAGGTGATAGGATAACCCTAGTTTAAATCAATTAAATATTCATATTTAATCTAAATCTAAATCACTGCCTTATATGTTGCATGTATTAATTCTGGAACCCTCTAAATAGACTCTAAAACCATCCATAACAGTCGGTGCGCGAAAGCTGGCCCGGAAACCCTCGTTAGGGAAGTTCCCTTTCCAAAAAAAATCATCCATAACAATGGGCTTCTGGAATATTTCATTTGTTGAACTATTGAACAATTAACGTTCAATCTCTATACCTTAAATTAATCTATAATTAATTCCAAATTAATTCTAATTAATTTCAACTAGTTTTTAATTAATTTATCAATCATATAATAAATTAATAAACATTTTATTCAAACTTCTAAAATCATTTCTAACTATTAGTGATCTTGAGGGAAACTCAAAAAATACTTTGTTATTATTCTAAAAGTTACATTAATTAGTTATGACATTGAATACCTATTTCTAACAAACTTTAAGTTAGTGGCGATGATATTGGTTATGGTGATTGGCAATGGTGGTGATAGTGATTATTGATATATGGTGGTGTGGTCATGTGGTGGTATTGTTGATGGTGATTGATTGTGATATGGGTGATAATGGTGATGGTGAAGTTGAGGTGGTGTTTATTGGTAGTAATTTAGTACTTATCAAATGGTAATCTCTTTTTTTTAATAGAAAGGGTCCCTTAAGGTATAAAAATATCAAAATTGAAATAAAAATGTAAAGAGGGGCATAAAGGTATTTTTATAGGCATCTAATGGTAAAGGTATTTTTATAAGCATCTAATGGAATATCCTAGACAACAATTGACTCAGGGACCTTTGGTGCAAGATTTGTAAACCACAAAACTACAAGGTCCAAAACTGTAATTTCTCAAAACAAGCGAAGTTAGGTTCAGATGCACAAAAAGAGAGTTTTGATATAAACTTCTAAAGGTGAAGTTAATGAGGCACTGTATTTTTTCAAAAAAGATTAAAATAGTCGTTTTTTAGGCTTTTTATATGGAAAAAATATTAGAAAAAATCCCTAAATAACAACAAATTTCACAAGTTTTTGCCCAAAACAGTGTTATTGAAAAAAATATTTAACAATCTAGTATAGTTTCAAAAATATTTATTAAACTATATTTTTTTCCTCTATTTTTTTGTTTTATTTATTGTGTTTTACTTCTAAATACAAGTTTTCTTTATTCTTTTTATTTGTTGTGTTTTACTTCTAAATACAAGTTTTCTTTAATATATTTTTAACATCAAATCTTAGCTATTTTATATTAAAACTATCATTACACATAATATTCTTTAAGGTGTAAAAACTTCAATACTATCGTAACAATTTTATAATACATGGGATACAATATTATTAAACATTACTTTATGTTTTCTTATTTTGAGATTTTTACAATATGAAAATAAACGTTTAGTGATTACAATGATATTGCGGCATTATCTGGTCACATGACTTGTTTTAATGAGTTTTTTAAGATCAAATTTCATAAATATCATATTTTACAAAAAAAAATTGCAATTAGAAAAATATGAAAAACGTCGGTTTTCTAAAGACAAAATTACAAAAGTGTCCCTGTGGTATGTATTTTTTTGGGTTTTAGTTCAAACCCCGACTTTTTTAGCTTTATGGTCATTTTGGCCATGTTTGTACGTAAATTTGGTCCCTCGTAAAATTGAAATGACTATAATGCCCTTTTGATATATTTTTTTATGTTTTTTGTATTTAATTTAAATGAAAAAGAAAATAAATAATTAATTTGGGCCATATATATATATATATATATATATATATGAAATCAAGAACGGACCATTTATTGTTGCAGCTTCAAAATCATGTTCGTCCTCCTACNNAACCTTCATCCCCACCACTCATCTCCCCTTCTTCGCTCACCTGCTCATCTTCTCTGATTTCTAGTAGGGAACACACCCAAATCACCGATGGTACTACACCTAAATCTCGATTTCCGGTGGTGCTACAAACAGAATGAAAGCTTCATCCCCACCGACTCACGATTCCACCCTTCTCGCTTCTACCGTCGCTTCTACTACCGCTGACCTGTCAGACTCCTTTCGTTCCTTAGGTGCAAGAGAATGAAAGCAAACGACACCACCACCATCATTTTTGTGTTCATTGTTTCTCCTAATCTATTGGTATCATCGGAATCAATTAAAGCCACAAACGAATTGGGGGCTTTCGGAGGATTTCATCATTTGTGCTTGGATATTTCTCCTTCCCCCATTGAAACGTTGGAAGAAAAGGAAGCCAAATATGATTTCTTCTCCTCCCTACTGATTAGTTTCATATCCTTTCTTCTTCAAAAGTTTTTTTTTGCTTTATTTTTTTCGAAAATGGTCTAATAGATGGATTTGGGAGGGTAGATGGTTGAAGGTAATGGATTTGTATTTCAATTACTCTTTTTCGAATTTGATCTGGAAGATGGATATAAGTTTTAAGTTGAATTTGATGGACTTGAAAATTAGGTTAAAAAACTGAAATTTAGGTTGACGGTTTTAAAATTACTGATGTGTGTTGTTCTTGAGTATGTATGTTCATCAGTGTGTGTGTTTAGAAAATCATGTGTGTTTTTCATGAGTATCTATGTTCATAAGTGTATGTGTATTTTGAAGAAGTCTAGAAAATCTGATGAGTGTAT